TCCATCACTGCCTTCCTATTCCCAGCCCAAACACATCATATTTCAGGTTAACTCAGCCACAGTAAACTCAGCCTGTTTTGTTCTTTATTGTCCAATATGCTGGTCCTTGCCTATCTGAAACACTTTTGTCCCTTTCTTTCCTAGCAGAAGCACTGACATTCAGGTATCAATACCAGAAAACTGTCTGTGGCTGTGTGATTTAGACGTCTTCTTCAGTCTTCCCAGAGCACTCACCACAATACTGTTATAATGCAATATATACTGTAGGCTTTACTTTTATTTTTCTCTTATCTTCTACTTAATTGCAAGCTCTCTGACAGCAAGTCAAAGAGTTTATTCATCTTCATTCCATACTGCCTGATACATAGAAGGGACTATTCAATGAATGATTTATGAAAAAAAGACGAGGTGGAATTAACAGAGCACAGGAAGGGAAGGGAAGGAAGGAGGTAAGACAATAAAGAGGGAGAGAACATGCACATACATAGGGCCTCAAAAAAGGGACATCTGTAATCGACCCATTATTTTCACATAGACTAAGTAAGTTAGGAGATAATAATATATACGAAAAAAACTATACAGGTTCTAAGTACAACCATCTAAATCACTCATCCCCTAATAATTCTAATTATTCTAGTCCACCCAGCCGATTCTACTACAAAAAAAAAATTTTTTTTGAGACAGTGTCTCACCATGTAGTTCAGGCTGACCTTGAACTCTCTATGTAGCCATAGTGGCCTCTAACTGGAAATGATCCTCTCGCCTCAGGCTCCCCAGTGCTGGGATTACAAGCATGCACCACCACACCCGTCTTTCATTCTAAAAATTAACTGCAATGTAAAGTTACTTCAATAAAGTTTCACTTTAAAAAAGGTAGGAAATGAATGTGATGTAGTTCTTGGAATTAATTATCATTTCCTGAAAATCTATCACTGAAGTAGAAGGCCTACCATAAATATGAAAAATAAATCCAACAGAACACCAACCTCATAATTTACATTAAGGCACACACCACTTTTCAGTCACAAGTCATAGTTCTCAAAAACATATCCTTCAAAAATACGAGATAAAGTACACTAATACTATGCGGTTTTATTTATATAAATTGTTGAGGACAGTGCTGCAGGGCAATTGCTGTTAAAACATGTAACACTAAAAATGGCACATACATTTTTCTTTACTTGGGAACTTTAAGGCAAGAAGCAAAAAAGTATTACAAAATACTCTTTAAATTACCTCAATACTGTCACTTAAAATTTTTTTAAAGTCCTCTTGTCACTAACAGGACAGCCAAATCAAACTTAATAACTTGCTTCAAAGAAATTTGGTGAGATCCAATAAATGGCAGAAATCCTTTTACAGCTAAATTACTGTACTAGAGAAACAGAACACATACACACACACACACACACACATATTTAAACTCAAACCAAGCATGGTGGCACATGCCTGTAATCCTAGCATTCAGGAGGCCAAGGCAGGACTGCCCCAAGTTCAAGGCCACCCTGGACTAAATACTGAGTTCAAGACCAGCCTGAACTGCATGGTAAATGTGACTCTGTCTCAAAAAAAAAAAAAAAAAAATTAAACTCAACAGAATCAATGTTAAATACATTTTAAGTTGTAATTTTTGCTAAAGGAAAAAAAAGCTTACCTTTTACTATAAAAGAAATCACGGTATTAGTTTTCATAATGATGTAGTACACTTATAATGAAGCTCTTTGCAAAGTTGGAGATTTGTTTTCATTACTTTTTTCCTGTTAACATTACTAAGTACAAGTATCTTTTTCAAAAAGCAGTGAGGTAGAAATGCTGAGTGCTTAAAATTAGCAGCTCTAAAATGATACCAAAAAAATTTGCATTTGCCTAGTACCATGAAAACTCTAAGGCTAAAGTTTCCAATATACTTTCATTTTTCAAACATTACAAGTTTTAAAAAAGGAAACAAAGAAAGAAAATTTTATTCTAAAACACCTTCCACTAACTACATCTCTTTTAGCCAAACATTTACAGGGCACCTAAGATGTAGCAAGCATTACAGTAAGAACTGTGACAGATTACATTTATTCCAAACGTTTATTCAGTTTCAAAACTTATTATGTATTATTGAACCTAAAACTTTACTTAAATCTCATCCAACACCAAGATAGATATAGTATTCCTAATAGACACACTTTTCAAACTGCTTTACACAAGTCACCAGAGTTAGCTAGCCTAGCATTTATGACTAACAAAAAGGCTTCATTTCTGAAATATCATTAATTATGTTTTCAAGCACATAAACACGAAATAGGAATTCAGCAGATAAACTGAGGCAATCTAATGTGCCCCACACTCCAAAAAAAACCATTTAAAACATCAGGCTACAGTACTTAATAAACATTTAGGCAACCAAAAGCTTTTATTTTTTTCTATAAACACTAATATCACAAACTGTAACCTAAAGTACTATAAAAACTGCCTTCAATCTGAAGGGAAATATGTTTTTGTTTAAAAAAATAGCTCAAAGAAAATGTCAAAAGTACATGACATTTGCATTCTAACATACTAGCTATCCTATTTGTATACTTATGAACACGTCATACCCTTTTCAAGCACTCAATTTGTAATGAATAAAAATCTGCTAAAGTCTCAGTTCCACCAGTTAAATCTAGATATTACTATTATCCAAGGCTTTTCATCCTAAGAGCGTTTTTAAAAAAGAATTTACATATTCCATAAAGTGAAAACCAATCTATGCTTTTATTGCTGTAATTTCTTCCACCAGTTAAGCAAACTACTTTTTAGACACTATCCTCCATTCAGTGAACATGTTTGCTAAAAAGAACCCTGGTCATCAGTGTTCCACACAATACAAAACAACAGAGCATACAGGAGGCTGAGGAAAGAGGATCACTGTCAGTTAAGGCCAGGCTGGGCTACAAAAGTGAGTTTAAAGCCAGCCTGAACTGCACAGCGAAACCATCTCAAAAAGACAAAACAAAAACAAAAACCAGCAAATTACAATTTGTAGATCAATAAAGGAAAATAAATCATATAACCCCAGCTCTTAGCTCCTTGGAAATATAAGAAATGCTATCTCTGAAGTATGTGAAAATCACCAAAATCTCTTTTAAAATCTTTCAAATAACATTGTTTTTCTATCAAAAAGGTTTTCTGCTAAAAATTCACAGTACGGTTCACAAAATAAAACGAGATTTTCTTTCATCGTGTAACCGATAGAACCACAATACAGTTCAGTTTCGAGAATCAGGTTGCTTGACCTGTTTTGTTTTACGTTCTGAAACACTTCAATTCAGGCAGTCATTCCGATCATTCCCTACGAAAGGAGGCAGTCTGAATGAGAGAAATCACCTTCCACGAGACTTAAAACTGACTGCAACTCCACAGTAAAACCCTCGATATGCACACCAGCTGGCCCCCGTTTCCAGGGAAGGACTGGGCACCAAGCCACCACACACACCTTCCTTTGCAAACTCGGAGGCCCCATAATCACGGCGGCCAAAGCCCCTACTTCCTGAATCCCCTAACGCCGGAGGTTCCTTTTCTCTAGGCAATCCTACCTTCATGGCGATTCTGAGGCCGCGATTCCCTCGAAAACACCGGATTCACCTGCACCTGGAAGGGAAACAAAGACACTCCGTGAGCACCACCTGCACTATCGGGGGCGGCGGAGGCACCGAAGAAAGCTCGGTGAGGGGCGTCAGTCGCCCGCAGCACGCTCGGGGCCCCTTAGCCGCGCCATCACCGCGCACCCACCACCCACACGGCCCGCAGCGTCCCGTCCCCATTGTCGCGACCGGACGGAGTTTCCAGTCTCTGACGATGACGCCATTTCTGTCAGAACAAACTCACAACAAGCCAAGGTCCGGCGCAGGCCTGGACGACAAACGCCGCCGTCCGCCCCCACGGGCCGCACAGCGCCGAGTCGTTGGACCCTGGCGGGGCCTCGGTAGCCGGACGGCCTCCAGTTCCTCTGCCCGAGTCCACCCCGAGCGGAGCCCGACAAGTGGGAGCCGGGCCCAAGCGGCGGCCGGCCCCCACCCACCCCGCGCTCCGCGCCTAGTGCGCGGCCGATTCGGGCTCGGCACCGAAAAGGGATCCCGGGAGGCCTCAGCCCCACATCCAAGCGCCGTCGGAGCGCCGCGGCCATCTGCCCCGCTCCCCGGCTGGGCCCGGGGACGCCCCGAGGAGACCGCGCCAGCCCCGGAAAATGCCCTACCTTCCGCGGCTACGAGGTCCGAGCCCGGCCCGTCCAGAGTCTCCGCTCCTCCTCCCCCACGCACACCAGCAGGCCTGGGAGAGAGATGGGGGAGAAGGCCGGCGGGTCCAGCGGCGGCCGAGGCTGAGGTTCGGGCTCCTCCTCCTCCCGCGGCGGCGACTGGTACCTTTGTTTGGCGGCCGCTCGGGCTCCCTCGCTGGGGGGAGGGGGACGACGAAAAATCCCTCCCGGGCTGGGGGTCCGGGCCCCCGGTCGCGCTGCCCTCCAGAGGACGGCGGCGACGGACCCTCTGCGGCTGCCCCTGGGCAAAGGTCCAGGCGGTGCCCGTGGCGGCAACAAGCTGAGGCTCAAGAGTCTTCTTCGCTCCGGCGCCTGAGCTCTTCACTCCGGACTCGACTGACGGGCAAACATCGCTTCCCCCCTCACGGGTCCCCCCCCTTCCCTTCTCCCCTCCCCTAGCTTCTTTTCCCCTCCCCTACCTCGTTCCCGGATGGCCTCTTAGACGACCTCAGATTGGCTAGATTTCGCTAGAGCCAGCCTATACCCTGTTCCTATTGGCCCCCGGGATACAAACAACGACGCCATTTTCCCACCAGTTCTATGGAAACAGAAAGTTACTCCCCGAAGCTTTCTGGGAAATGTAGTACAACTCCTAGAACCAATACGCAAACCTTGGCTCGGGAGAACTGCAAGAACCCCAATGCCCTGCGCCTGCGTAAAAAGGGAGAGGAGGGAGGGAGGGGTCGGGACCATAAGCCAACGAGGAGGCGGCAACAACGCCTGCGCAGTGTGACTGGGATGGCGCATTTTCTTGCAACGAGTAATGCGGCGTCGCTAGCGGCTGAGGAGGGCGGAGAGTTCTGTGGTGAAGTTGGAGAAGGGATTCATGTAGGCGTCGGAAGGAGCCTTGATCTGAACTACAAAGAGGGAAGTTGATGCTGGATACTTTTATTCCCGGAGTGGCAACGGAAAGTCGTGAGATCACCGTGGAACAGTAAGCGGCGGCGGCGGCGGGGGGACCCGGATGGGAAGGGGGGGCGGGGCCGAGGGGGAAAGAAAAGAGGCGGAGGACCCGGATGCTGACCCGGCCCCGGTGGAACTCGGGCGTGCGCGGGTATTGCAGGGGGGAGGGCGGGCGGACCAATGGGCGCAAGGCACCTCGCTGCGGCGCTGTAGTAGCTTAGAACTCTGCCTAGCCGCTGTAGCTTTGCCTGCCTCGGGAGTTATTTAAAGCCCCGCTGTGTCTGTGTCCCTAGGGGTCCGCAGTTCCCAGAGCTGGGCTTGGTGTGCACGTCACAGCTGCGCTTGTCGTTTCTGTGTTTAGCAATTTTGAAAACAAACCCTTCCCTTTTAAAAAAATTACTTTGCGTGGCATTTTCATTTGCGAGTTGTGCCCCGATTTCATTCTTCTGGGCGTCAGAAGGCATCTTCATTCATTCTATTACCTGAATCTGGTCGGCGACAGAGGTTAAAACTAAGCAGATACAGGAGTGAGTGCAGCCGAGATAGTGCTGGGGCGATTGAAGAAAATGACGTAAAGATTGAGCTTGTTTAGGGAGATAAGTTTACCAAGCGGGCGCGGATTGAGCTGTAGGGCTAGCCGGAGTTAACCAAGTAAAGGATATTACAGACCGAAAGAGTAGTAACATGTTGGAAATCTGTCAGGAGAGAGCTTTCACATTTTGAAGATCTGAGGCTGGAGAGGTCAGGAGCGCTGCAAAGCTTCTATGCTTCGTTTTTTGTATTTTGTTTGTTTTGTTTTGTTTTTGGCACCGGGAATCGAACTCAGGACCTTGCGCTTGCCAGGGAGGCGCTTGTGCCGCTGAACTATATCCCCGTCCCCTTATGCTTTGTTACGAAGGAGTTTTGTTCTGGCATTTTGAGCAGTAGGATGGGTTGGAATGGTTCTCAACTGGAGGAAAGAGGACCAGTCTTGAATTGTGTGAAGACCTAAGGCCTAAGGGTGAAAGAGGAGATAACAGAGATGCAAGCAGGGGAGTCCAAGGAGGAATCCCCTGCAATGGTAATGCAACAGAGAGAGGAATGAACTGTATTAATAATTACTGATCCCTCTTCTAACACATTTCCAGCAGTTTTTCAGTTTTGAAAGTGGAAGAATAATGGCACACTCTCACTGAGCCAGTCTGTAATTGTTTACCCTCAAAATCATTTAGTAGAGTTCACAGAACGCAACCATTGCCTCTTTATACTGTGTAGTACATGAAAACTGAAGCTTACGGCTTAGATAAATTGGTGGTAAAAAAGAGAGACAGGCAAGTCTGTGTGGAACCCCTTAGACTGTTTGTGACTGACAGAGTCTTTCTGTGTAGTTCATACTGGCCTTGGAGACTCTGCAGCCCAGGCTGGCCTCAAACTCACAGCAATCTTCGTGCCTCAGCCTCCAGAGTTCTGGGATTACAGGGGTGCGTCACCACGCCCAGTTAGACTCTTAACAAAACATAAAACAAACTGATTTCCAATATCTAAAAACATTCAGGATTCTATATTTTCCTACCACTAAGAGTAGCTGCATGTAAACATTCTCCAGAAAAAGGAGGCGGCTTATACTTATTTTTTAAATATTTCTTAAACTTCTGTGAATAAACAAAGGCATTGATAATATTTTTAATTCACAACTATTAAATTAAGAAATAACATCAGACAAGGCTTTAAGAATTTAGCCCGGGTGGCCGAGTGTGGTGGCACACGCCTATACTGCACTTGAAAGGCTGAGGCAGGAGGATAATTGTGAGTTCGAGACCAGCCTGGGCTACAAAGTGAGCTCACGGGCGGCCTGAACTGCATAGTGAAACCCTGTCTGAAAAAGACCAAAAAGGGGCTGGGGATTTAGCTCAGCGGCACAGCGCCTGCCTGGCAAGGGCAAGGTCATGAGTTCAATTCCCAGTACTGGGGAAAAAAAAAAATCTAAGTTTCAAAAAGACCCCCCCCCAAAAAAAAAAATTTAAACAAAGGTTGGCTCATTTCTTTTCAAAAGTATACTTGTTAAGGATCCAGAGATAAAAAATTGCTGAGCTGGATGTGGTAGCACATGCCTGTAATCCCATCACTCAGGAGGCTGATGCAGAACGATCATCAATATTCCAAGCCAGCCATGGCTACTGATAGCAAGTCTCAGACTAGATTGAACTGCATAGGAAGACGTCAAAAACAAAAAAGAACTGTTGAAAGAAGGTCAGCCAGGCGTGGAGGCACGTTCCTGTAATCCCAGCACTCCAGAGGCTGAGGCACAAAAATTGCGAGTTTGAGGCCAGCCCAGGCTACATAGTGATTTCAAGTCCAGCCTGAAAACTTGCATAGCGAAACCCAATCTCAAATAGACAAAAAAGAAAGGTCTCGGTGAATCAAATGTGTTACAGTCTCAAAAAAACTGTGGTTTGTAATTTTTTTGTTTGGTTTTGGTTTTGGTTTTTTTCCAGTACCAGGAATTAAACTCACGACCTTGCGCTTGCCAGGCAGGCTCTGTGCTGCTGAGCTAAATCCTCAGCCCCCAATGGTTTGTCATTTGAAGTTAGGTGAAAAGGGATGACTCCTGTTTGAGAATTATGTAAAATATGTATTGGTACATGTGTAAGTACTTGTTTGTTCTGTTTTTGATGCTGTTCCACAGTGATCTGACCTAGCCATTATATTCGTGTTTTGCATCTTTCCTTTAACCTGTAAGAACAAGGTAACTAGATCAAAAGTTAAACTATAATAAATTATTTGGGTTACTTCAGAAAGTTTTACTAGCAACTTAAGTGTTGTGATACACACTTGTAATCCCAGCTCCTTGGGAGACTAAGGCAGAAGGCTTGCAAGTTCAAGGTCAGCCTGGGTTTCTTAGTGAGACCCTGTCTCAAACAAAGGTGCATTAGGGGTGGTGTAGAATATAGCATTTTAAGTTGAGAAATAACAAACCTCTAAGAACTTACATAAAGGTTACCTCAGTGCAAAGGCCTTAAATTCAAGAAAAAAATCAGCTGAATACTGACGAATGTAATCACCTGTTTAAAGAATTTTTTTTTAAAAATTTGAGGGTACAGCAAGACCCTGTCTCAAAAAAAGAATAGTATAGTTCAGGTCTCATGGGGTGGTACACACCTATATTTCCACCTATTTGAGAGGCTGAAGAAGTAAAATCATTTGAGCACATGAGTCTGAAATCGGACTGGCAGTATAGTGAGAAACCATCTCAAAACAAGAGAAGTACACAGTTAAGTGATTTTTAGTATATTCGCTGTAATCTAATTACATAACATTTTGATTCCCCCAAAAAGAAACCCTGTTACTCTCTATTTCCCCACTCCATATTCTGCCATACTAGCAACCACTGATCAACTTTCTGTGTGGATCAGGCTATTCAGAACATTTCATTTTTTTCTTCTTTTTGGACTGGGAATTGAACTCAGGACTTTTTGCTTCCAGGCAGGCACTTGTACCACTGTGTTATATCCCTGAGCCCGAGAACAAACACTTCATTTAAATGGAATCATAGCGGGCTGGGGATATAGCTCAGCAGCACAAGTGCCTGCCTGGCAAGTGCAAGGTCCTGAGTTCGATTGCTGGTACCAAAAAGAAATAAAAATTTAAAAATTAGTGGAATCATACACTACATGCTCTTTTGTAACTGACTTCTTTTGCTTAACGTAATGCTTTCAAAGTGTTCTGCATGTTAAATTTTTTTTAAAACCAAACTGAAAGTCTGTCTTTCCCAAAACACCTTGAGACATAAATATTTTACAATTTATTACTTAAAAGACAGAGTAATTTCGTTCATGAAATCACTGGTATGTTTATTTTGACAGATCATCTTTGAAATTTGGAAACAATGGAGAAGAGTCAAGAAAATGTCCAAAGAATTCTTCTAGAACCCTACAGGTACTTACTTCAGTTACCAGGTAACTATTCAGTTACAGCCATCCACAGAGAATAGTTTTCAGACAGAAATGGTTGTTCAAATGTTAGCAAATAGAAAAGCATAGACTTAGCAGATTTTCTTTCTTTCTTTTTTTTTTTCTTAGTCTTTTTGAGACAGGGTCTCACTATGCAGTTCAGGCTGGTCTTGAACTCACTTTGTAGCCCTGGCTGATCTCAAACTCACAATGATCTTCCTGCCTCAGCCTCCCAAGTGCTGGGATTATAGGTGTGCGCCCCCATGCCCGGCCAGATTTTCTATTTAAAATGATCACCAAAACAATGTATTTATATTGTTCCCTCTTAAAAGGCACCACTTAAAAAATATCAATCCTATAACATACCTTAAAAAATAGATACTCTGTTATTCCAGAACCCAGAAAGCTGAGGCAGGAAGATCAAGAGTTCAGGCCAGTTTGGACTACATATTGAGACCATGTCACAAAAAAGAAACACCTTTACCTAGAAAATGATAACAAGTAAAGATTCGTGAAATAATTAAAGTGAGTTCTCTAATTCATTTATAAACCAATTACTTGGAGTGATATGCTTTGTCATAAAGAAATATAAAGGTGGTAAATTCTTAGACAACTTTTAATAATGTAGCCCATCATGTAATTAAACTGTTATGATATGCTCATCTTAGTCACCAAAGACACCATTTTTATTTCTATTCTAATGTGCATACCTTTCTTTGTCACTATACCTCAAGGATAATAAATGCATTTCTTCATGAAGTTGGAGAGAATAAATATGGTTATCATAGTGGTGCATGCCTATAGTCTCACATACTTGAGAGGCTGAAGCAGAACAATCACTTGATCAGGAGTTTAGGGCCATCCTGGGTGAAATAACAAAAATGTCGCTTAAAAAAAAAAACAGACACAAAGTATTAGCTCTTGGACTATACTTAGGAAACCACCATGATTATTAAATAAAGAAAAAAAAATGCTGAGACTAGTTTTTTGTTTTTGTTTTGTTTGCAGAGTGTTGTATGAAGAGGTGAACCCAGAGCACTCTTATCACTGGGCTATATCCCCATAACCTCAGTGCTTTTTTATTTTTTATCCTGAGACAGGCTCACTGAGTTACTTAAGCTGGCCATGAACTTGTGTTCCTTCTATTTCAGCCTCCCTGGTAGCTGGGACTATAGGCAAAGGCCCCTGTGCCTGGCAATTTTACTATTTTCTACATAATATTAAGATAAGAAATGAAAAATGTGACTCCGTGTTAATTCTCTGTGATTTCATATTCAGAGTTTATTTTTTAGTGGAGCATGGTAGTGTATGCTTATAATCCTAACCCTTGGAAAGCTGACACACAAAGACCACGGGTTTGAGGCCGGACTGGGCTACATAGTAATTTCAAGGCCAGCCTCAGCTACATAGTGAGACCCTGTCTCAAAAAACTGGAAAAGCCAGGCATGGTGGTGCACGCCTGTAATACCAACTCTCAGGAGGCTAAGGAAAGTGGCAAGGCCAGCCTGGGTCACATAGGAAGACTGTGTCTTAAAAAAAGAAAGAAATCAACTAGAGAAAAAAGACCTATTTTTTTTTTTCCAAGAAGCTTTTAAAATATAATTGCTTTCTCTAATTGGTCATTATAAGTATAGCTGAGACTGACCTTTATTAAACTGAGATGTAAGAAGTATAAACTATATAATGGCCACCCAGACCATATGCACCTTAGCAGTTAGTAGGCAGAACATGTTACTTGTAGAGAACCCTGAGAGATGCCTTCTTTCCTAGACTGCACAGAGAGGAAATTTGTCCCTTTGGATATGTGATACGAGCTGTGCACTCGTTTGTTTAAGTGACTGTTGCAGAGAAAATAGAGGACTTTTAAGCATTTGGGGGCAGAGGATGCAGATCAATGGTAAAGTGCTTACGGAGCATTCACAGGGTCCTGCATTTGATCTCTTAACACCACAAAAAAGAAAAAGAAGTATTTTTGATTACTGAAACTTTTTTTTTTTTTTTGGTACCAAGAATCAAACTCAGGATCCTGCGCTTGCCAGGCAGGCATTTGTGCCACTGAGTTATATCCTCGGCCCGAAACTTAACTTTTTATGTAACTTTTTTCCAAAACATAATGTGAAATTAGTATATTACTATATACTCACTTATCAGGAAACTCATAGAATAGTTTGGCTAAATGGTGATAGTTTTTTATCACCATTCCTTTATGTTTAGGCTAAAATCGCTTCTAGCAGAAACTGTTACCCAAAGATCTGTCTCTTTTTTTTTTTTTTTTTTTTTGGTCTTTTTGAGACAGGGTCTTACTATGCAGTTCAGGCTGGCCTTGAGCTCACTTTGTAGCCCAGGCTGGTCTCGAACTTGCAGTGATCCTCCTGCCTCAGCCTTTCTTAAGATCTTTCTTAAGGTTTCCATGCTTAAAAAAAATCCAGATGACACTTAAAAAGTAATGGCCTAAAATAAAGACCTTGACAATACTAAGAGTATTAAAAGGGGATGTTTCAGGGTATGGAAATCTTTTTTTTCTTTGTGTGTGCATGCGTGTGTGCACCCATGTGTGTAGATCCAACCCAGGAATTCATGCTAAGCACGTGCTGTGCCACTGAGCAGTATCCCCAGCCTGGTAATCTCATTTTTTGATACAAAAGAAACATAACTGCCTAGTCTCTTAAACCTTCATTTAAAGGAGTAGTAGATAATTTTAAGAGATAATTTTATGGAAAGGGCATGGTAGTCCACACCTGGAAGCCCAGCACTCAGGAAGCCGAGGCAGGAGGATCACTGAGTTCAAGGCTACCCTGAGTTATAAAGTGAGTTCAAGGCCAGCATTAACTGCATAATGAAACCTGGTCTCAAAAAAAAAAAAAAAAAGAGATAATTTTAAGAAGTAATTCAATAGTATAGTACATTAATACTTAGTTGGGGGAGAGAGGGTATACACCTATAATCCCAGCTGCTTTCAATGGCTGACACAGGAGGATTGAAAATTTGAGGCCAGTTTGGTCAACTCAGTAAGTTGGGCAATTTAGCAAGTATTTCAAAAATTTAAAAAATAAGTAAAGGTCTGTAGCAGGTAACTTGATCATAGAGCAACTCTGGGTTCAATTGCCAGTACTGCCAAAAAAAAAAAGTTCTGTAAAATAGAAAGTTCTGCTCGGTGTGATGGCACACACCTATAATCCTAGCACTTGGGAGGCTGAGGCAGGAAGATTACTGTAAGTTTGAGGCCAGCCTGAACTACATACTAAAATCCTGTCTCTAAAAAATGAAACAAAAAAAAAGTTCTAATTAGCTGTCTCTAAACAGACTTCCTTTTCAGCAAAAAGAATAAATTAGATATTTCCTACAAATGCCCACTCCATTTTGAAGTTGAATGTGTTAATTAAAGCCCACCAAAGTCCTTCAGAATATGTCTTGCTTATCCAAATTTTAAAAAGTTGTGTACCAGCCAGGATTGGTGGCACACACCTGTAATCCCAGCACTCCAAGGCTGAGGCAGCAGGATTGCTTCAAATTCGAGACCTGCCTGGGCTACATAGTAATTTCAAGGCCAGCCTGACCTACATAGTGAGACCTTATCTCAAAAATCAAAAAAGAGAGAGAGAAAGAAGGGAAGTTGGATATTTTAGGATGTGGTGGGGGTTGTGAGGTTTTTTGCTTGTTTTCACAGTACTCGCGATTAAATTGTAGAGTTTATGCACCCTAGGAAGGCACTCTAAAAACTAAGCTACATCTCTAGCCATTTTATTTTGAGACAGAGTCTCTAAATTGTTCAGGCTAGCCTCCAACTTGAGATCCTTCTGGCCCAGCCTCCTGAATAGCTGAGATTACAGGCATGTTCTGCCATGCTTGGCTTCGGGATATGAATTTCAGAGAGGTTGGGGACTTGGATGTGGTCCATAGAAGGTAATCTCTGCAATGGGTAGTGGGTTGATGGGGCTGGATTTCTCAAGTCTGATGAGTTTCAAAGAAAGTTTCTGAATGTGTAGGTATACACATACCCATACACACCTTAGGGATTGAACCTAGGGCTTTTCCACTAAATTACATCCCCAGCACTTTTTTTATTTTTTATTTTGAGACAAGGTCTCACTGAACTGAACTTGTTATCCTGTTGCAGCCTTCCAGAATGCTAAGATTATAAAATACATTAAATGTGTCTATTATAATTAAAATAATTGTTTTATTGACAGTTTTTACTTTTTGATTGCAGGTAAGCAAGTAAGAACAAAACTTTCACAGGCATTTAATCATTGGCTGAAAGTTCCAGAAGACAAATTACAGGTATTTAGACAATTTTTCCCCCAGTACTGGAATTGAACCAGGGCTTTCACACTGAGATACGTCCCCAGACATTTTTTATTTTTTACATTTAGGGTTTTGCTAAATTGTACAATCTAGACTCTTACTTGTGATTCTCCTACCTCAGCTTCCCAGAGTGCTCGGATTACAGGCATGAGCCACCATGCCCAGCTGGCAATTCTCATCTCACTATTAACCGCCCCCCCCCAATTAATATATGTCATTTAAAAATACTCTTAGCTCTTGGTTCATTATAATGCTCATGCAATGTATTATTTCATATTTGTAATAATTTAAGATGTGAGACTTTCAGAATATCTTAATATCATTAAGCATAAACTTTTGAATAGTTCAAGTAAAGTAAAATTTTCTATTCTTTTTTTTAAGATTATCATTGAAGTGACAGAAATGTTGCATAATGCCAGTTTACTAATTGATGATATTGAGGACAATTCAAAACTTCGACGTGGCTTTCCTGTAGCACACAGCATCTATGGAATTCCATCTGTCATCAATTCTGCCAATTATGTATATTTCCTTGGTTTAGAGAAAGTCTTAACCCTTGATCACCCAGATGCAGTGAAGCTTTTTACCCGCCAGCTTTTGGAACTCCACCAGGGACAAGGCCTAGATATTTACTGGAGGGATAATTACATTTGTCCCACTGAAGAAGAATATAAAGCCATGGTGCTGCAGAAGACGGGTGGACTGTTTGGACTCGCAGTAGGTCTCATGCAGTTGTTCTCTGACTACAAAGAAGATTTAAAACCACTGCTTAATACACTTGGACTATTTTTCCAAATTAGAGATGATTATGCCAACCTTCACTCCAAAGAATATAGTGAAAACAAAAGTTTTTGTGAAGATCTGACAGAAGGAAAGTTCTCATTCCCTACTATTCATGCTATTCGGTCGAAGCCTGAAAGCACCCAGGTGCAGAACATCTTGCACCAGAGAACAGAAAATATAGATATTAAAAAATACTGTGTCCAGTATCTTGAGGATGTAGGTTCTTTTGAATATACTCGGAATACTCTTAGAGAACTTGAATCTGAAGCCTATAAACAAATTGAGGCATGTGGTGGAAATCCTGAGCTAGTATCTTTAGTAAAGCACTTAGGTAAGATGTTCAAAGAAGAAAATTAATAATGTTAAGCCATTCTTGATTGATACATGCAACTTATTTTGTTGGGTTTTTTTTGTCTTTTAACCCATCACTATTAGCTTTTTACAAATTTGGACCAACCTGTTAATGGCCAAAAACTGAAAAAATAGGAGTGAGATGAGTGAAATTATTTCAGTGTAGAAACCTATCCATATATATAATACAAAGTCAAAAGAATCAAAAGGAGCCACATTTTTATAGGTCTAATTTAAATGTTAGGACTTCTTCTAGGAGGTCATTGTGACCATCTGTCCCCCACTACAACAAATGTTCTGTTGATCTTGTCAATATCAAAGACTTTAGCTTCGAGGAATTTTTATCTAGATCCTGCCTTACTACTACTATAGGCCGTTCTCTATCACCTCCAATGTCAAACCAGTGACTACATGAGACCAGTGTCTTTAGCTAACTGTCCCAAAGACCACACCACTGCTTTCTTGAATGCTGCTACTAAACATCCTCTCTGGAAGCCCTCTTACAAAGTCTTCTGGGAGAAGGCTGAGTGAAAAATAGTAACCAGGTCCTTTTTGTTGCCCTTTACCTTTTTTTCTCTTCATCTCCATCCCACAAATCTCTTTTAACTAAGGAATCTCCACCTAATGAAATCCACACGTTAGCTGAGTGTGGTGGTGCATGCCTGTAATCCCAGCACTCAGGAGGCTGAGGCAGAAGGATCGTTGCAAGTTCAAGGCCCATAGTGAGACCCTATCTCAAAAAGACAAAAAAAAAAAAAAGAAAAGAAAAATTCACACTTGCTAGCCAAGTTCTTTTACCTGTTTTCAACAAATTTATGTCCCAAACTGATTAATACTCCATTTTAAAAGAAAAAGAATGTACAGAATAAGCATTTTAGGAGAGAGCCTCTAAACCTGGACATATTTCCCCACTACTGATAGTGAAGATCTTTAAAAGGCTGTTTGTTTATCACCAGCACAAAAATGGAATAATGTCCTTTTCCTTCTCAGCCAGGCACTGTCTTCCCCCCTTGAAGGCATTAGATGTGTGCATGGAAAGGGAGTAGGGCAGGCATGGTGGCACATGCCTGTAATCCCAGCACTGCAGAGGCTGAGGCAGGAAAGTTGCTCTGAGTTCAAAGCTAGCCTGAACTGTATAGTGAAACCCTATCTCAAAAAGATGGAAAAACGAAAAAAGGAATAGGCATCTGTTGTCCCTGACTGAAGGAAACCAAAGTGTTAACTCAACACCTGATTAAAACTAGTCAAATGCTAGACCATTGAGCCCTAATTGCTTTTTAGGGCCTTACCCCTGACCCAGCTCTCTTCAGTGTAATTGCCATACTTAAACCACTGGGGCCATCTGTGGGAGGAAAAGTAAGAAGAAAAAGCCGGGTGTGGTGGCAAAAGCCTGTAATCCTAGCACTCGGGAGGCTGAGGCAAGATGATCCTTGAAAGTTCAAGACCAGCCTGGGCTACAAAGTGAGCTCAAGCCCAGCCTGAAGTGCATAGCAACACCCTGTCTCAAAAAAAAAAAAAAAAAAAAAAAAAAAAAATACCTTGACTCCCATATTAGAAATGTTGACATCCCAAAATAAAAGGTAATACTTCCCTTAGAAATGTTCCATTTTGCTGGATTGGTTCTGTAATACACTGTGTTGGACCTAACCACCATATGCATGTATAAGAAATTCTTACCCAAGCACTTGACCTGAATCTTAAAAAGTTGGATGCTGTTCTTCCTAAACCTTAAAATAATTTGAGGGCCAGGGATATATCTCAGTGGCACAGCACCTGCCAAGCAAGAGCAAGGTCATGAGTGTGATTCCCGATACCAAAAAAATAATAATTTGAAACTCCTGTTTTGACAGTGATAGAGGGTATTTGTGCTATGGAAATTTGAACCTTTATGTTTATAAATTGATACTTTTGAAAAACCATGATTATTCTTAAGAATAGAATGCATAAATAAAATGTTTTCCTTGCCTAATCAAATTAATTTTGGACTGATGCTAATTCATTATTCTTACAGCATTTTTATCTTGCCTTTATCAGTGACAGAAATGCTTGAAATTGAATTGGGGTGTTGTATTTCTTTTTTGGGCTTTTGTGGTAGTGCTTTTGTTTTGAGATAGGGTCTATGGGGCCGGGGGGTATAGCTCAGTGGCATAAGTGCCTCCCTGGCAAGCGCAAGGTCCTGAGTTCAATTCCTGGTACAAAAAAAAAAAAAAAGATAGGATCTATGTAGTTCAGGATTGCCTTGAACTCACTATGTAGCCCAAGCTGGCCTCAAACTCAGCAATTCTCCTGCCTCACCTTTGCAAATGCTAGGATTATAGGCATGTATCACCAAGCCCAGCTGAATTGGGAACTTTGTAACAGAGTCATTTCATTTCATCTAATAGTCAAAACTCCATACTTAATCTGTAGTCACAGTTGTTAGTGCAGAATATAGTCAGAATGTAATGAGATCTTTAAAGCTAATAATATGAATTAATTCTCAGTTTAGGTTTATGGTACAGTAACTTTTTTTCTGCATAAGGGAAAATCTAGTGATCATTTCTCGGGCTTTTGGCTAAGATCAAGTGTAGGGAAAATCTTGTGATAAACCAAGTATGAATTGGAGTTTGCCATTTTAAAAACTTTTTTTTTTAAACTGGACCTGGTGTTGCACGCCTGTAATCCCAGCATTTGGGAGGGAGACTGAAAGATTGCTGTGAGTTTGAGAGCAGCCTGGACTACGTAGTTCAAGGCCAGCAGGGTTTGCTTTGTAATCCTCGAACTTGTGGCAATCGTCCTACCTCATCCAGGTGCTGGGTAAAAGACATAATTTAACATTTAAAAATACTTTCTAGTCTGTGCAGCTTCAGTCAGAAAGCAAATTGATTTATTTGCCAAGGTATTGGTTGTAGTGGTGTACACCTGTAGTTGCAGCTACTCAGGAAGATCACAGAATCAAAGCCAATATAGGCAGTTTATCAAAAACCTATCTCAAAAAGGGCTGAGGTTGTAGCTTAATGGTAGAACGCTAGGCTACCATGTATGAGGCTCAGGGTTCAATCCCTGATACTGCCCCCCCCAAAAATGCGTTGCCATAAATCTTAAATCAACAAGACTTTTTTGAGAAAAAATTTGAATTAAGATATCAAGCACTGTCCTTTAGAATGACCAACTTACTAGCTTTGAATTATTTTTATTTCCATGTATAGATTATGTGCACATCTGAGTTGCTATAATGAATAATGGAAGATATTTGGACCTCAATGAGTGAAATAGTAATAATGGCAAGCTGTATAGGTAGTTTGTAAATCTTGAGAAAATTTGGTAAATCATTCAATAAAAATTGTAAAATGAGAACATTCAAAGAAAAAGTTTGGTTTTTCTTTTTGTCTTTTTGAGACAGTGTCTAGCTATGCAGTTCAGGCTCGCCTTGAGCTCACTTCCTAGCCCAAGCTAGCCTTGAACTAGCAATGATCCTCCTGCCTCAGCCTCCCGGTGCTGGGATCACAGGCATGCGCCACCATGCCCGGCAAAGAAAAAGGTTTTAGAGAGATTCAACTTTAATAATTCTAACAGATGTGAGCCAGGCATGGTAGTGCATGCCTGTGATCCGAGCATCTGGGAGGCTGAGGCAAGAGGATCGTTGTGAGTTCAAGGCCAGCCTGGGCTACAAAGTGAGTTCAAGACCAGCCTAAACTACCTCGTGAGACTCAGCCTCAATAAAAAAAAAGAAACCCAAAATATAAAAAACGTGAAGCTAACAGATAAAGGCATTTAACCATAAAGAAAGGTATGTACAAAATTAGGTAAGGAAACTGAAAATGAAGCAGGTTATTGAAAACGATTGTCATTTAAAGCAAAACAAAGCAATTCAAAGACAATAATAGATTTTCTGATAAGTTTGATGAAAATTCATTTGTGATTTTATAACAAAAATGAAAGTATAATTTTTAAAGTTTGTTCAATTTATTGACTCCTGAAACTTGGCCAGTTAAGATTTGAAAAGCTGGGGCTGGGGATTTAGCTCAGTGGCAAAAAGCTCCTGCCTGGCAAGCGCAAGGTCGTGAGTTCAGGGGCTGGGGATTTAGCTCAGCGGCAAAAGCGCCTGCCTGGCAAGTGCAAGGTCGTGAGTTCGGTTCCTGGTACCAGAGAAAAACAAACAAACAAAAAAAAAGTCGTGAGTTCAGTTCCCGGTACCGGAGAAAAACCAAAAAAAAAAGATTTGAAAAGCTGTGGGTTGAAGTTGAAAAAATAAAATTACACCATTCAAGAAATGTAAAGGCTAGGCATGGTAGCACATGCCTGTAATCCCAGCACTTGGAGGCTGAGACAGGAGGATCATTGCAAGTTCGAGGCCAGCCTGGGCTACAAAGTGAGCTAAAGGGAAGCCTGAACTGCATAGCAAGATTCTGTCTCAAAAAAGAAAAAAAAAAAAAAAAAAAAAAAAAAAAAAATTAACTATAAAAGTAAAGACTTTCAGTGCTATAAAGATTAGGAAAAAATCTGAATATAAATCCTGATAGTTTACAGGAAGCCAAGAGATGATTCAGCACCACAGAAAATACCATCAAGAGCCAGGCATGGTGATGCACACCTGTAATCTCAGCTGCTTACGTACAATTTTAAGACCAGCATGGTCAACATACCAAAACCTTGTCTCAAAAAAGGATGGAGATACAGCTCATTGGTAGTACCCTCAACTAGCGTGTGAGTGACCATGAGTTCAGAAGACCATGGTACCACAAAAAAGTGGCAGTGCACACCTATAATCCTAGCACTCAGAAGCTTGGGCTAACAGGATCCCAACTCTGAGCCCAGCCTGGACAACTTACCAAACCTGTCTCAAAACGAAAAAATTTTAAAAGGGATTGGGGGTGCAGCTTAGCGCAGAAGCTCTGGATTTGATCCCTAGTACCCAACAAAAATAAAAATTATCAGTGTTGAAATTCCTGACTTGAGCCCACAAGTTATTTAAGACTGTTCAGAGAGGCAGCTGGAAGAATTCCATGCAGTTTCCTGTGTTATATGGCTCAGATGAGAATTTCATTTAGGAAGCGACTGCCAGACCAAATCAAATAATCATACCAGTAATTACCTGCTGGATCGGAATAGCATCACCCTGTATATGGATAATCTCACTTGACATTTTCTTGACACTCTTGGATCTTGGCAAGCCGAGCTTGCACACAACTGCCAGAGAATTTTATTTATTTGCTTTTATGTTGTATACCCTTATTTAAAAATCCTTTTTAGGACAAACATGTTAACTTCCTAGTTAAAGCTTCATGTAATCTGCTTCCCATTTTATCTCACACATTTGTTAATATCCTTTATGTCACCTAACCCTGTCTATTGATTCTTACTTAAAGATTCTTAAAGATATTTCCAAATTCTTGCCTGTATTCATAATACTGCTTTTCTTTTTCATAATACTGCTTTGTGGAAGGTTTTCCCAGCCCTTTGGTGGCCCATCAGTGTGGCCTAATTTAAAATTGTAATTCCTTGCTGAAAACTTTTTCCAAATCAAAATATCTTAATAAGAAGAAATAAACCACTGTCCACCCGGATAGGAAGTCAGTGTATTTTGAGTATTCAATAGAGACCTTACAAAGCAAATCTTAAACATGGAGTTTATGGCTGGGGACAGTGGTATAGACCTGTAATC